GCAAAATATGGATGGAAATAGAAGTACGCATTGTGGCTGCAATACTGGGCTGCAGACTGATTCATAACTGGCAGTCAATCACGATAGATGAGAAAATTGTCATGCATTCTCTTATCTAATGAAAAGTAAAGGTATCCCTTTAAGAGGCCGTGGAGGCCCATAGGGTTGTGAAATGTCGAGGCTCCCACATTTTCTAGACAATCGGCTCACAGATGGCTGTTAGATTGTCAGCCTTAAGCGCCGGCCGCACTTTACCCCAGGAAGATTCCTTGTACTCACTTCTGTTATAGGCTGAGTCGACCCCAGGGTCATATTTCGGCGGGAAGGATTAGTAAATTGAAAAAATCCACCTCGTCGAGATTCCATCCCGCGACCTTCCGGCCAGTAGCATAATGTCTCAACCAACTACGCTACCTCGTGCCCCTCTCTTATCTAATGCGAGAGTCAAATAAATGACGTAAACGGAAAATTATTCGTTTATCCTCTCCTGTTATTGTTGTCAGAATGCAATGGGTTGAAGTGAGACCCCTCAAATAAAACAAAAAAACATTAACAACTTTGAAAATGGATATGAGATTTCGCACTTGGAATGTTCGAAGTTTGTATAGGGCAGGTTCGCTCAGAGCAGTGGCAGAAGAAATCTTAAAATATAAGTTAGATTTAGCGGGAGTACAGGAGGTCAGATTGGATGGAGGTGGCATCTCACCAGCAGGATACTATACATTTTTCTATGGAAAGGGGAATGAAAATCATGAATTAGGTACAGGTTTTTTCGTACATAAGAGAATCGTATCAGCAGTTAAGACGGTAGAATTCATTTATAATACTAAAAGGTCGCTGGTGTGTTATCATTGTTATGAATGTTCACGACCCAACAGAAGATAAAATTGATGACATAAAGGATAGATTCTATGAAGAACTAGGACATGTATTTGATAAATTCCTGAAATACCCTATGAAAATTTTGTTAGGAGATTTCATGATTACAAATGCACTTTGGTATGTGACAAATCAGACAGTACATGACGATCTCAATGTACCATTCATCAAAGAAGTTATCCAAGAAAAAAGCATAAGACAGCGTGATAAACTAGGACACCATAGCAATACATTTCTGCAGCCCCTACTGGAACAACAACAATGAAGAAGGTTGAAGAAATTCTGGCCAGCAGGTCTACTTCATGGTTGAAGAGGATCTCTCATTGGAGGAGCCCTCATCACCATACAATAAACACACGAGTACGGAGTTTAAATTAGTAAATTAGCTTAAAGAATGTATTTAATTCTGATTGCTAATATATATATATATAAAGGAGATTTCAATGCCAAAGTAGGGAGGGAAGACATTTTCAAACCAACAATTGGGAATGAGAGTTTGCATGAAACTAGTAATGATATTGGAGTTAGAGTTGTAAACTATGCCACATCAAAAAATCTTACTGTCAAAAGTACAATGTTCCCACATCGTAACATCCATAAATTTACTTGGACATCTCCTGATGGGAAGATACACAATCAAATAGACCATATTTTGATAGATAGGAGACGCCACTCAAGTATACTTGTCCGATCATACAGGGCAGCAGATTATGATACTGTCCACTACCTGGTGGTGGCAAAGGTTAGGGAAAGACTGGCATTGAGCAAACAAACAAACAACACACAGAGTTCATATGGAGAGGTTCAATTTCAAGAAATTAAATGAGACAGAGGGTAAAGAGCAGTATTGTGCTGAAATCTCAAAGAGGTTCACGGCTTTGGAAAACTTGGAAACTAAGGTGGATGTTAATAAAGCTTGGGAAACTATTAGAGAGAATATAAAAATGTCTGCCAAAGAGAGTCTACATTATTATGAACCGAAGAAGCATAAGCCATGATTCGATGAAGGATGCTCAAAATTATTAGATCAAAGAAAGCAGGTTGAATCCAAGCAGGATCCAAGTGAGTTAAATGGGGATAATCTGAACAATATAAGACGTGAAAACAGCAGGCATTTCAGGAACAAAAAGAAGGAATATCTGAGAGACAAAATTGATGAGCTTGTAATGAACAGTAAGAACAAGAAAAATTAGAGACCTGTATAGATGAAAAAAATGACTTTAGGAGGGGTTACCAGCCTAGCAGTAACTTCTTAGTGAAGGATGAGAATGGTGATCTGCTAGCAGATTCCCACAACATTTTGAATAGGTGGAGGAACTACTTCTCTCAGTTATTGAATGTACATAGGGTCAGTGATGTTAGGCAGACAGAAATCCATACAGTTGAGCAGTTAGTACCTAATCACCAGGTAGTGATCAAATTCCGGCAGAACTTATTCAAGCAGGAGGCGAAATATTACGTTCTAAGATCCACAATCTAATTACTTCTATTTGGCATAAGGAAAAATTGCCTGATCAGTGGAAGGAGTCTATTATTGTACCAGTTCACATGAAGGGTGATAAAACTGACTGTAGTAATTATCGGGGGATATCACTGCTATAAACTTCATATAAAATTTTGTCCAATATTCTTCTCTCAAGGTTAAGTCCATACACAGATGAAATAATTGAAGCTCATCAGTGTGGATTTCGACGTAACAGATCAATTCAAGATCAGATCTTTTGAATTCGTCAGATATTGGAGAAAAAATGGGAGTACGATGAGAGGGTACATCAGCTATTCATAGACTTCAAGAAAGCCAATGATTCAGTTAGGAGGAAAGTATTGTACTATATTCTAATAGAGTTTGGGATACCCATGAAACTAGTTAGGTTGGTTAAAATGTGTTTAAACGAAACGCATAGTAAAGTCCGTGTAGGTAAACATTTGTCTGATAAATTTCCTATCCAGAATGGTCTAAAACAAGGAGATGCTTTATCGCCACTCCTTTTCAACTTTGCCTTAGAATATGCAATTAGGAAGGTCCAGGGAAACCAGGTGGGACAGAAATTAAACGGAACACATCAGCTGTTGGCCTATGCCGATGATGTGAATCTACTGGGCGATAATGCAGATACCATAAAAAAAACACACAAACTTTAATTGACCCAAGTAAAGAGGTTGGTCTAAAAGTAAACAGAGAGAAATGCAAATATATGTTACTGTCTCGTCACCAAAATGCAGGGCAAAATCATGACATGAAGATAGGAAACAGATGTTTTGAAAATGTGGCACAGTTCGGATATTTGGCAACAACGATAACAGATCGAAACCTGATTCAGGAGGAAATTAAGAGGAGATTGAACTCGGGTAATGCTTGCTACCATTCAGTCCAGAACCTTTTGTCTTCTTGTCTGCTGCCCAAAAACATAAAAATTAGAATCTACAAAACTATAATTTTGCCTTTGGTTCTTCATGGGTGTGAAACTTGGTCTCTGACATTAAGGAAGGAAGATAGACTGAGGGTGTTTGAGAAGAGGGTGTTGAGGAGAATATTTGGACCAAAGAAAGATGAAATCACAGGAGGTTGGAGAAAACTGCATAATGACAGGCTTCATAACTTGTACTCTTCTCCAAGTATAATTAGAATGATCAAGTCAAGGTGGATGAGGTTGGCAGGGCATGTAGCACAAATGGTGGAGTAGAGAAATGCATATATGATATTAGTGGGAAAGCCAGAAGGAAAGAGACCACAGGGAGGACCAAAGCGTAGGTAGGTGGACAATATTAAAATGGATCTTAGAGAGATAGGATGGGATGGTATGGATTGGATTGATCTGCATTAGGATAGGGACCAGTGGAGGGCTCTTGTGAACACGGTAATGAACCTTCGGGTTCCATAAAATGCTGGGAAATTGTTGAGTAGCTGCAGAATTTGCAGCTCCTCCAGAAGGGCTCAGCTCCATGAGTAAGTAAGTACGTTAAGTAAGGTTCCTAAGTTTTTAATTTGATTTGTTGTCCTCATGTTGACAGTATGGGATAGCAAGACTGTAAGAGTATGAACCGAAGTCTCATAACATGTTTCAATCCAAATGCGAATTTTGACACTTGTATTGTCTTTCCTTCCTATGGAGAAAACTTTGAAACGGAGAGAGCATAAACTTGCCTGAAATTTAATCAGAAACTTTGTTTTAATATGAAGAATTCCGTTTTATTGGATGTGGCACCGTGTAGATCTTGGGTGAACCGAAGTTTCAGAGGGACGCATCGCCTCCATCTTCAGGGTAGATACTGCCGTGAAAACCTCAAACCATACATCTTTTTAGTATGTTTAATATGTTAAAATTAATTTTATGTAAGCATATACAAATATAAATATAAAAATATTCATATTTGTTTGCAAAATAAGATATAATAAATATGTGTGCACATATATACATATATAGTAAAATTAACAGACTCTGGATGACTACCTACTGGGCCATAATCTATATTTTCTCCACACTGAGAACACGATGTAACAACCCAAGAATCGAATAAACATCAGTAGCATTACAGCTTTATATAAAGGTAAAGCTACCCCTGTAGTAGCCCGTGGAGGCTCATAGGATTGTAAGACGTCGAGGCTCCTACATTTCCTAGACAGTCGGCTCACAGATGGCGGTAGAGCTGTTATCCTCACAAGCCGACAGTCCTTCACCCCTAGCAAGATTCCTGGTACTTATTTCTGATTGAGGCTGAGTCAAACCCAGTGCGGGTGGAAGGATTGGGTCAATTGAAAAATCCAGTGACCTCACTATTAATCGAGCTCCTGACTTTCCAGCTTGTAACATATTGCCTCAACCAACTACGCTACCGCGTGTCCCGTAGCTTTATATGCCGTATATTAAATATTAGGTGTACTATCTCAGCAACTAAAATGACAGGTTAAAATCTAGGTTAGTGATTCCAACTCTCAGCTTTGTTGGAACTTATTCCTTCGTTTCCACTAAAATAACTGTTCTCCACTGGGGGGCAAGAGAACCTTTGCCAGGGAGTAAAGATAGACAGAGTATTTCCTTTTAGTGGCGAGTTTAATATTCGTGTAACATTATGTCCTGCCCAAATACGCTTTCAAGTTGTAGCGCTTAGATAATGGCTTACCTTTTACTTTGCAGACGACATGTTAGAGGCCATGTTTCTTCTTATTTGTCCCTAAAAGAGGAGAAATAACATGAGAATTAATTATAAGAAACTTCATAAACTGTATGCTTCACATGATATTATTAAAGTGATCAAATCGAGGAGAATGGCAAGTAGCAAGGATGAAAGAAATGGGAAAGAAATATGAAAGTTTGGTAACAGAGTCTGGAAGGTATCGACACGTGTATGAACGACTATAGACGGGGTTTGGATCGATGACTGGATTTATTGACCACTTACAAACCGTAACAACAATTAACTATAACACTACCACACTTTACAAGTTACTACAACACACGCTAGGCCTTCTCAGTCTTCTTTTACTAGTCGTTTCCCGACAGCGAATCTTAACAATGGAAATTCTCCAGCTTCTATGCTCAAGTCGTTACTGTCCGGTGAATATCCATCAACTGAACTGTTGATCCAAATGAACAATTCCCAGGCTGTCGGCCATCTGAAACAAACATCCTAGTCTTCGCTTCACAGACTGACTTACAACTGACTAATGCTTGGGTTGTGTCCTTGCTATAGAACTCCTTGGCGCGGACTGCGTAGAAAACACAATTTTCAACAGTTCCTCTATTATTGCGCGTGAAATCGTTGCCGTGGGAACATGTTTGTTACGCGATCGCTGCCAAGTAACGGGTCAACACACTGCAGTATATAAAACTTCTGAGAATTTGGCGTAAATAAGAAAGCATTAATAAAATTGGGTATAAGGAAATAGTGTGTGAAGGTGTACAGTGCCTTCATCCGGCTTCGGACAGTGTCTCCCAGCGGGCAGTAAGAGACAGGGATTGTCTCTCTGAGCAACTACTGCTTACTGAAGAAAGGCACTGCTCTGGATTCAGTTCAATGTTTCATTAAAACAGCTCAATATAGTGCCTAATTAACTCCATGGATCTGAATCCTTCGTCAGAAGTCGCCAGTCGCTCATCTTCCCAAGAATTTCTCAAAATTTTCTGAAGTCCGAAGGCTCATTGCCTTCCACCGATCCCTATCCTGAGACAAATGAATCCAGTCCATAGGACCCAATTCTATTTCTCTAATATCCATTTTAATATTATCATCATACATACATCTAGGCCTTCCTCTTGGTGTTCTTCTCACTAAGACCTTGTATGCATTCCTCTTCTCCCCCATACGTGTTACATGCACTGCCCATTTCATCTTCCTGGACTTGAGCAGTCTATTTGAATGTGTGCATGATCCGAAGAGAAAGACGCATTAGCAGCCCCAGCGGGGAACACGATGGTTATGCTGGAATATACGCAGCATTACCTGCAGAAACTTGGCGAAGGCCCCTCACCCACGACAGTGACCAACTGACGAGCGGTGGCCAGGGGCAATTGGCCTAACTCGTTTAGTTCATCTCCAGTCAGGCTAATTGGTCTGGAAAACAAGTTCGTCTATTTGCCCTTTCTGCTCCCGCGATTTCAGCCCCCTCTTTCAACGAATACTGTGTATTCTAGTAGTCTCCAGCCCTAGCCAACTTTTCTTCTCTGCATTCTGAACCCTCGGTATAGATGGCTGTGCCCTTCACGATCTCCCCTCATTTAAGGCAATGAATGTTAAGTAAAATTACCATATATGAACAGACACGCAGTTTACAGTTAAATATAAGAGATGTAATTAATATTTTTACAATTTGTATTAGGCCTCTGTGATAATGACTGAAATACAAGAGAGAATATTCCCCAGTCTCCAGTGCAATTGGCAGCACTGCACAGATTCGGAAAGCCACAACCAAATGCCACGCTCCAAGGCATATTTTATATTTCCAAAATAAAACCACCCCCTTCACCCACCCTTCACTGACAACATAGAACAATATTTAATCGAAAACGTCATATTTCCCCCCGTCCCTTTCTCTGATACAAATCGAAACATGACGCAGTGCGGTCGGCAATTGTTCCCGACAACAACGGGACCAACATCATGTCTGGAGAAAACAGGCGTGAAATAAAATTAAAAACAAAACAAAACAGACAGTTTGTTGTCACTTGCAGCGAAGCGACTTCAACCCTGACATGTGGGGGAGAACTGCCTCTGTAGCCGTCACGTGATTTCAAAACGTTCATTTCATAAAATATAAATAAACTCAGGAGCTTAATTATAACAAAATATTGCGATAGATGATATGGCATAGGGTAATGTTCATTAATACAGCTACTTCTGATCATTTAATGCTACATCACTATGAACCGACGTTTCGTAAATTATAAGTAAAATTAGTGACTTAATTACAATAAAATGCTAGAAGTACTCAAATGGCACTGAGCAATGTACAATAATAAACAAGAAATTCTAGGAAGAACTAATAGCCTACTTTCTTTTGATACCACATAGATCGCATAGAAAACGTCTAATCCAAACATTTTTGGTTGCCGCGGGAACGTCTTTACCAAGCTCTTACCTAACAGCGGTAGGGACACGCAAGCAGACCCACAGACACACGCATACATAAATTCTTCTATTGTTGAGCGTAATTTTTGCCGTGGTTACGTGTGTACGCAGCCGTTGCTTAACAATGAAATAAGGGATACATTTTACCAAGCTTTTGACTAACTACACTATGAGGGATACACATACAGACACACAGGCTTATAGAAGGGATTTATGAAGTACACAACCTCCAACTAGTGCCCAGGTCAAAACGTGGGTCTATACACCAACTCCCCCATACGCCTTCATGGCGTAGTGCTCAATTAATTAAGTACAGGGACAACTTTACCTCCTTTACACTGTTAAAATATGCTCAGGTGCCATGATATACATACCAAGTTTCATAGAGACTGATTCAGGCACTCAAAAGTTAATGGGGAAGGGGCGTTATTTACAGACACGCAGACAGCATGGAGATCGCATAAACCTACTTACTTTATTTTAAACAAGGACAGTGGTCTAAAATATTGTTGCTTAGCATTTGACCTTTAAGAATTGGACTGGCACACAACAATATTCAATAAGAAGTTACCACTCTTCCATACCATTTAATCCTATATTGGCACCAACCAACCTTTAATAATATGTAATTAAATGAAGCCAGGGACTTAATTGCAGCAAGAAATTGCAGCGGTTGGCATGGCAGAGAGGAATGTTCTATAATGCGAACATTGCTGTTTCTGTTCCTTTAGTAGCATGAACCAACATTCCAGCTAAATAAATTTGGGATTGTGTCTGGAACACAGAATGACTGGAAAACACTTACCTTGGAATTCGGGGTCATCTCAAAATATCAGTGAGACATCATCACAAGCAGAGAGGTTAGTCAGTTGTTTAGACTGACTTTTATACCTAATTTTCTAATTTCTTAGGGGTAAATAATAAGCCATTATATAAAAGGTAATCTATCCCTGTAACAGACCGTGAAGGCCAATAGATTTGTGAAACGTTGAGGCTTCCACATTTTCTAGACAATCGGCTCGCAGATGGCGATAAGGTTGTCAGCCGTACGAGCCGGCCGCCCTTTAACTCCCAGGAAGAGTCCAGGTACTCATTTCTGTTTAAAGGCTGAGTCGAACCCAGGGCCATAGTAAGCTGGAAAGATTGGATAAATTGAAAAATAAATCCCCTTCATCGACACTCGAACCCGCGACATTCCGCCTTGTAGCATAGTGCCTCGATCAACTACGGTACCGCGTACCCCTCCCACCTTCAACATCACTAAACAACTTGATATTCTTCAAGAAGAGTGGTATGAATTTCCCCTAAAGACTGTTCAAAACTTGCACGAATCCATTCCAAGACAAATTCTGGCTGTGTTGAAGGCATAAGGTGATCCAACGCCATGTAAATAAAGAAATATGTACAGTATCTATAGATTTTCCATTATTTTGTTCAACCCCTGTATATATTCCTCCACAGAAAGTAGTTTTTTACCATCCCAGACTTTTCTTCCGCTATCCATATTGTTCCATGACTCTGTGTCAACAGAAAATGTTATACAGCTCTAACGGATAAATTATAGTTATGACTATTTCAGAAAAACGTGGATAGAAGCCTGTTTTAAGATATTAACCTAGTACTGTCGTTAAAACTGAAGAAAACTATGACAACCCTAAATAAAACTGACATTGCCTAGAATGGGAAGAGAGGCAGCTGAAGAGCTCCACGGGCTACGGGTCGAACCACCTGACTGCAAATCACAGGAGATATAGACTTACTCTTTTTACAATTACGACTGACTTGCACGGAGCCTCGGTACCCCAGCTATTTCCATGGGGGAATCACTTCGTTCCAGTGTCCAGGTTCAGGATGGATCCACATCAGGCCCTCAGCGCTTTCCCATATCCTGGTGCTTAGGCGCAGTGGCAAAGTTAATATTTATCTATACCCATAATACGCGAACCACCACGCCCGCAAAGTGGTTAGGCATTTAGGAAGGAGAGTTTGAGCCTCTCTCTATATGCGTCGCTATCCGTGATCTATTTACGGCGTTTGTCTACCAAATCTTTGCAGAAAAGAATCAGTGGCAGCCCACTTCACTGCGACAGTGACAGCCCACCAGACACTTTCAGTTTCAAAAGAAATCCAGTGGACCGAGCAGAGGTTTGTGGCGGCCGGTGTCTGCCCACAACCTCTTCACAAACACTGTTTTTTTTACATTTCTTTTCACCTTGGTTTTTAAAGAAGCACATGTGAAGCGGTTAGGTAAGATCCATGGGAAATTTCTGGTACTTGTTTGTTGTGGAGTGGATGTTTTAAGGGTTGGACCGGGCACTGTGGTACACTACTACATACAGGAAGATGAACCCAGAGAGAAAGTAAAATAAAAAGAAGGCTGATCCATCCGTCCAATGGTACAAGAAGAAAGCATTTTAACCTCCATTACGTGTAATGTGTGCAAAGACTGTGCTGCCACCTGCCGGGCGGAGAGCTTAATTTGCTCTTAACTAGACTCTTTGAAGTACACCGACTTGTTTGCTGTTTCCTCTACAACAAGACCGATCAGATTTCACTTGGCCGCCAACGGAAGACGCTCCCTTCCCACAAAAAATTGAACAATACAG